GGGAGGGGGGATCAGGATGGGGAACACATGTAAATCCATGGCTGATTCATGTCAATGTATGGCAAAAACCACTACAATATTGTAAAGCAATTAGCCTCCAACTAATAAAAATAAATAGAAAAAAAAAGTTGATAGGGCCCTGTCACTGTCATATTCAGAAGCTTTTTTCATTACCAGTGACTTTCACAGGCACCTATGTATCTGTGAACATAAAATGATACTAAGTAATTCTCCTCTCCCTTCTCACACCAAAGTACAACACAAACGGCACAAGTTACTGACATATTTTAAAGTCACAAAATGTGTGGTTAATATAAAAAATAAGATCTGACAATAGAATAATCAATAGATAGGGAAAACAATGACCTGAAATCTCAAGGACCTCAGTTAGGGCTCATCTAGAGTTTAGGCAGCTAACTTCTCACAGAGTAGAATAACAATAAGGAATAAATAAAAGATACTTCAGTATATCCTACATAATTTCAACTCAACACTTCGGATAAGTTGAGATTCATGGAAGCATGTAACTAAGAAGACTCAAAACGCTGACAAGACTGCTGCATCCATGAGGGGGGATCAGGATGGGGAACCCATGTAAATCCATGGCTGATTCATGTCAATGTATGGCAAAAACCACTACAATATTGTAAAGTAATCAGCTTCCAACTAATAAAAATAAATGAAAAAATAAAGAAAAAAACAAAAAACAAAAAACCCAGCATGTCTACATCTGTGGCCTGCTGGTACGCTTCCCTGAAACAGTACCCATAAAAAAACCGTCATGCACCAAAAACTTCAGCATATCACCTTTCAGTTATTATGCTGTTGTGATTTTTAAGAACGGATAATAAATAAAACATTTTGAGAATAATTCTGGAGCCTGGAGCCTTCCCAATTCTAGGCTCTTGGATGTACAGCCTTCCACGGTAATTCATGTTTTCTGAAAATGGAATAGACTACAATAAAACAAAGACTGGTGGTCACAATACAGTTAAATAAGGGAAAATGATTCTTAAAATATTACTTCCAGTTTATTACATAAAAGTAACTTACCTGAATAATATGGGGAAGGCAAGCATTGTCTGACAATAATCTTTTCACTCTGGGTAAAGGCCGAATGATGGCATTATCTTGATCCCTAGAAAAGTATTTTCTACAGTCAATATTTGATACATTTATTAAGATTTGTATGTTCAGAGCATGTGACATTCTACTAGGCATGAAGCATGTTACCTTATTTTTTTGTTCATGAAGATTTACCTCTCATACATCTGGGAACATAATTAGGTATGTTGGTTTAAATCTATTTGACTGCTTAACAGGATTTCATTTCCTTCCATAAGATTTCCTTGAAAAACAGTACCCTAGAACAGCCAGAGGCTCTTACTATTTAACTGATTAAACTTGATGTTGTCCAAACACTGTCAGTGGATATTCCCCCCAAAGGGCATAGCAAACCTTTTCACATAAATTTAAACATTAATTTAACTACTCTCAGTATTTTCCAGGTGAGGCCTTAATTTTTATGCTACATTACTTCTAAATATTAACTGTATGTTTTAAAGCCTGACCTGAATTCATATTTTAGAGAACTGGAATTATGAAAGCCTCAAGTGCTATAATATCAACAACTAATCAGTAAATCCCATGACAAAATATCTTTATTACAGTAACAAAACAAGATGATATATATTCAAGTTTTATAAATATTGAAAAGTTCTATGCAAGGGTTACAATTATGACTATCACTGGATAAACAGTCTCACCTTCACTAGTCAAGTGGGGCAAGATACGGGCCTAGACTCAGGTTCTTAAACCAGGAGAGATTAACCTGACAGATCAGGAGCAGGCACTAGGCACTCACGACTATAAACTACAGTGTGTTTATTTCAAAATGTTCCTACCCCAATCACATGAATATGACAACTTATACTGTTGATAGAGAACAGCTAGTAACCCTCAATTTCGTAAGATTATTTGAAGTTTCCTAGAGGAAGTTGCTTTTTAGCTACCCTATCAATAAAATTTGCAAATTATTTCATTATATTTTGTTTCAAGAAGCTCCAAAATTCAAAAGAGCATTCCCTCAAAAAGCCACAAATGGAAAATCTTTGCCCTAAGTCACTAGAAAAATCCAATGCCTTAGAAAACATCCATAAAAATGAGGAAAACAAGATGTTTTAGAGTCCCTGTTAACCATGGAAATATTCAGTTATATTTTACCTGCTTGGAAAATATCCACACATTGTAATCAACATGTTCAATATCAGGGTAGCAAGGTCAGTTTCATTTAGTACAGCCTGTCCACTGGCTAACAGACACCACTTAAGCTGGGGTATTGCCTGAAGTGGTCGCCATCCATCCATGCCTTGAGCCCAGCATCTGGTTTTTGCATTTAACATTCCTTTGGTCCACAATTCCTGCATCTAAATGAATCAAAGGCGTCATTATTACAAGCACACCAAACAAAATGAAGTTTGCTAATGTTCCAAATAGGAAAAGGAGTACTTCAAGGCTGTATATTGTCACTCTGCTTATTTAACTTACATGCAGAGTACATCATGAGAAACACTAAGCTGGAAGAAGCACAAGCTGGAATCAAGATTGCAGGGAGAAATATCAATAACCTCAGATATGCAGATGACACCACCCTTATGGCAGAAAGTGAAGAGGAACTAAAGAGCCTCTTGATGAAAGTGAAAGAGGAGAGTGAAAAGGCTGGCTTAAAGCTCAACATTCAGAAAACTAAGATCATGGCATCTGGTCCCATCACTTCATGGCAAATAGATGGGGAAACAGTGAAAATAGTGTCAGACTTTATTTTCTTGGGCTCCAAAATCAGTGCAGATAGTGACTGCAGCCATGAAATTAAAAGACGCTTACTCCTTGGAAGGAAAGTTATGGCCAACCTAGACAGCACATTAAAAAGTAGAGACATTACTTTGTATACAAAGGTCCGTCTAGTCAAGGCTATGGTTTTTCCAGTGGTCATGTATGGATGTGAGAGTTGGGCTACAAAGAAAGCTGAGTGCCGAAGAATTGATGCTTTTGAACTGTGGTGTTGGAGAAGACTCTTGAGAGTCCCCTAGACTGTAAGGAGATCCAACCAGTCCATCCTAAAGGAGATCAGTCCTGGGTGCTCATTGGAAGGGCTGATGCTGAAGCTGAAACTCCAATACTTTGGCTACCTCACGCAAAGAGTTGACTCACTGGAAAAGACCCTGATGCTGGGAGGGACTGGGGGCAGGAGGAGACAGGGAAGACAGAGGATGAGATGGCTGGATGGCACCACCGACTCGATGGACATGAGTCTGAGTAAACTCCGGGAGTTGGTGATGGACAGGGAGGCCTGGCGTGTTGCGGCTGATGGGGTGGCAAAGAGTTGGACATGACTGAGCGACTGAACTGAACTGAGTGTTTCCTATTTCACAAAAAATACAAAGCTATGAAATATATGTGCAAATTCACTATTAGAAAACAACAAATTTTGTTGGCAGGCCTTCAGGCACTCTAATTTGTTTAATATTAGAAAATAACCATTTAGTTGGCTAAACTGCAGAGCATTAGAAACATACAAAATAATAAAAACCATAGGCAGAGTATAAACAACTGAATTACATATAAGCAGAAGGCCTGGTCTTCTATAAAACTATCTTTGACTAAATGCCAACTTAGCCTGGAAGTCAAGAATGGGAGGGCAGGACGTCCCTGCAGGGCAGGTGGCCCAGTGGTAAAGAATCCTCCTGCCAATGCAGGGAACATGGGTTCGATCCCTAGTCCAGGAAAATTTCACATGCCACAGGGTAACTAAGTCCATGTGCCGAAACTACTGAAGCCCAGGTGCACTAAAAGCCTGCAGGTCACAACTACTGAGCCCAAGTACTGCAATTACTGAAGCCCATGCACCTGCGGGCCCACGCCCCACAAGAGGGGCCACTGCGAGGAGAAGCCCATGTACCACAACTGGAGAGTGGCCTCCACTTGCCACAGAAACAAAGACTCGGAGCAGCAGCAAGAAAAAAAAGAGAGAGGGAAGGACCAAACATCACCAGACGTTCAGACGGAAACTGCTCTCGGACTGCATATGCAATTTTCAGTGACTTTAAGACTGCATGTTAAAACTTACCTGTTTATACCATAAAGAAGCATTACTGTTTAACATAATTATTAACGTAGCTATTGTTATATAAAAGTCATTAAAAACCTGAGCACTACCTCAAAACTTTAATTTTTATTGTCTTAATAAGTTTTTATTGAAGTATACTTGATTTATAATGTTAATTTCTGCTATACAGCAAAGTACATTCTGTTATACATATATACTTTTCCATTACAGTTTGTCACAGGATTTTGAACATAGTTCCCTGTGCTATACAGTAGGACCTTGCTGTTCATCCATTCTATTATATATATGCTACCTTGTATCTGCTAATTCCAAACTCCCAATCCATCCCTCCCCCACTTTTTTCCCTCCTTGGCAACCACAAGTCTCTGAGTCTGCTTAGGTTTCATATATAAGTTCATTTGTGTCCTATTTAGATTCCACATATAAGTGCTATACAGTATCTCTTTCTGACACATTTCACTTAGCATGATAATCTCTACTTGCACCCATGTTCCTACAAATGGCATTATTGTATTCTTTTTTCTGGTTGAGTAGTATTCCATTGAATTTATGTACCATGTGTTACATGTGTTGTTCTTTATCCACCCATCTGTCAATGGACATTTAGGTTATTTTCATGTCTTGGTTACTGTGAATAGTGATGCTATGAACATATAGGTGCATGTACCTTTTGAATTACAGTTTTGTTTGGATATATGCCCAGAAGTGAGACCGCCAGATCATATGGCAACTCTATTTTTAGTTTTTTGCGGAAACTCCACACTGTTTTTTACAGTGGCTGGACAAGTTTACGTTCCCATCGACAATGAAGGAAGGTTCCCTTTTCTCCACACCCTCTCCAGCATCTGTTATTTGTGGAGTTTTTAATGATGGTTATTCTGACTAATGTGAGGTGGAGTCTCATTGAGTTTTGTTTCTATTTCCCTAATAATTATTAGCGAAGCCATAACAACAGCTTTTAAAGTGTTTAATTGCATTTTGAGGATGCATTCCTCTTGAAATACTTTTATTGATTGACTGACTGATCATGCCATGGCACGGGGGAACTTAAGTTCCCACACCAGGGATCAAACCTGGGCTCCCTATAGTGGGAGCACAGAACACTAATCACGGAACCACTATGGAAGTCCCAACAGCTTTTAACCGCTAAAAACTGAAGACATGGTTGTGTGTGTTTGTGTGTCTGGATGTGTGAGTCTTTCAAATGGAAATGAAGTCATTGGAACTGATGATAGTAAATTAAATCACAGATTTAAAATACTACACATCTCGATATGTGCTAAACAGGAGAACATTAAAAAGTCTAAGACTTCCATGAAAAGTTTCTCTGAAACACATACCTCATGAAATCCATATGGCCCACTCCTTTCTTTGTCTGCATTGCCAAAATACCATTCCTTTTCACTCTCTCTCTTCATATCTGGAGCAGCTTCAATCACATTGCTCTAAGTTTTAAAAGGATTTAGTTATTTTTCAAGGCAGAAGTCTAAGGGGACAGATATCATAAAAAGTTAAAACAGTAGTAATTTCTTGAGTTTATATATCTTTAGAAATCCATCTAAAATTTAAATTACCTGATTTTAAGAGTGGAGAATTAGATACCTAATAGTACTAAAATGCTACCTTTTATTACACATTTGAAGTAAACAGTTTCCTCAATTCACTTGGCAATCTATGCTAAATTCAAAGACCAACTATATGCCTGCTAGTAAGTATTAGTTGCTCACTACTGTCCGACTCTCTGCGAACCCATGGTTGTAGCCCACTAGCCTCCTCTGTCCATGGAATTCTCCAGACAACAATACTAGAGTGGGTAGCCATTCCCTTCTCCAGGGGATCTTCCTGATTCAGGGATCAAACCTGGGTCTCCTGCTTTGCAGGCAGATTCTCTACCATCTGAGCCACCAAGGAAATCCAGTAATAAATTATCAGGACACTAAAATTTTAGTAGCAAAGAATACTGTAAATAGCTATATAATCAAACATGGGCCATTAACCAAAAACACAATGCTTAAAATATTAAAGTTCTTTTGAGGGAAAAAATTTACACCAACTGAAAATTTCAACAAACACCTGAGGTCAAAGAGTTAAACAGGAAGGTTTTCAGTTGTTTTAAATAGTTACTTTCAATCTACCTCATGACAGGTAATTCTTTCAATTTCATACACCATTGTTTATGAGAATCTAGGATAAAATTTTTATGTATTTAGTATATTTTATTAAAACATGATTTAAATACCCTCATTACTATCAGCTTTCAGTGAGACTCACACAGAAGTATAGGAAAGTAGTTAAGAACACAGACTCTGGCTTCTAACTCTGGCTCTGTCCATTATTAGGTGATCTTGGACAACCTACTTAGCCTCTCTGTTGTTCCTTTAACTCATGTGTAAAATGGGAGGGCTATCATGGGACTTAGAGAGTTATTACATTTTGTGTACCAGAATAGTACCTAGTACATTGAAATTCAAGTGTTATAATTACTATTACTTGTACCCAATAATAGAAAATGCTGTTTCTGCTTTATTGACTATGCCAAAGCCTTTGACTGTGTGGATCACATAAACTGTGGAAACTTCTGAAAGAGATGGGAATACCAGACCACCTGACCTGCCTCTTGAGAAACCTATATGCAGGTCAGGAAGCAACAGTTNGCCACCTGATGTGAAGAGCTGATTCATTGGAAAAGACCCTGATGCTGGGAAAGATTGAGGGCAGGAGGAGAAGGGGACAACAGAGGATGAGATGGTTGGATGGCATCACTGATTCAATGGACATGGGTTTGGGTGGACTCTGGGAGTTGGTGATGGACAGGGAGGCCTGGCGTGCTGTGGTTCATGGGGCTGCAGAGAGTTGGACACGACTGAGCGACTGAACTGAATATTGAAATAGCACTTTTGTACACAATTCTACCCACCTCCTCAAACAAGAAGATTAAACAAAAATTTAACATTAACACTGAAAGTATCACCAATGAGATAAGTATAGATCCTTTCTCTAAGTTAGGTATCAGAAGAAGTCTTTCAGTTAAATTGTAGTTTTGATGATATAGAGTTCTGTTATTTTTCTGATGACTAATCATCAGACAATGGTATTGAGTAACAGTTATATAATCATGGGTAATTACAACTGCAAGCCATAATGGAAACATGATTAACCTAACAATATAAAATAATTACATATAATTTGGGGGGGGTTCAAGCAGAGTGATATGGTAAGTAAAAGTGCATACATGCATATGTTTTCATCTGCTCAGCCAGTTTATGTCTTTTGCTTGGTGCATTTTATCCATTTATATTGAAGGTAATTATCAGTATGTATGATCCTATTATTTTCTTAGTTGTTCTGGATTTATTTTCTGTAGGTAGGTCCTTTCCTTCTCTTGTTTCCTGCCTAGAGAAGTTTCTTTAGCATTTGTTGTAAGGCTGAATTCTCTTAACTTTGGCTTCTCTAGAAGGCTTTTGATTCATCAGATCTGAAGGAGAGTCTTGCTGGGAAGAATATTCCACCCAAAAAGGTTGCAGGTTCTTCCTTTCCGTCACTTTAAATATATTATGCCATTCCCTTTTGGCTTGAAGAATTTCTGCTGAGAAATCAGCTGATAGCCTGATGGGAGTTGTCTTGCATGTTCTCATTTTTCCCTTGTTGTTTTTAATATTTTACCTTTATCTTTAATTTTTGTCAGTTTGGTTACTATGTGTCTCATATGTTCCTCCTTGGGTTTATCCTACGTGGGACTCTGTGCCTCGTGGACTTGGTTAACTATTTCCCTTCCCACGTTAGGGTAAGCCTAAGTTGCTCAGTCATATCTGACTCTTCGTGACCCCATGGACTGTAGCCCACCAGGCGACTCTCTCCATGGAATTCTCCCGGCAAGAATACTTGAGTTGCTTGCCATTCCCTTCTCCAGGGACCAAACCCAGGTCTCCCATATTGCAGGTGGATTCTTTACCCTCTGAGTTACCAGGGAAGCCCTCAGGTTAGGGAAGTTTTCAGCTATTATCTTTTCAAATGTTTTCTCAGGTCCTTTTCCTCTCTCTCTCTTCTCCTTCTGGGACCCCTATAATGTGAATGCAGGTACTGGTTTAATGTTGTCCCAGATACTTTTGATCTGAGGTCATGATTCTTTTGACCCTAAATTCATATTCAAAGAAGGTTAAACTTATGAAATCTAGATAAGCATGCATACCTGCAGTGGTACTGTAGCTCGGCTTACATGGAGGTGTGCAAGGGTAAGCAAATCCACAAGGATTCTAATTCCATTTGAATCCATCAGGTCCTTAACATTTTTCTGAAACACAGAAAAGAAGAGAACCTTTTATGTGGAATATATCAAATATATATGTGGAATATGTGGAACCTCTTTGGAAAAACTAATATGTAAATGATATTACTTAGTATTTTCAGAATTTTGTGTTCAAAGAGTATCAATTTAGACAAAAGTTAAAAAGGCAAAACAATATTACAGAGAGTTCACATAAAGAATTTTTACTTAAGTATGTTCTGAACAAAACAAAAATAAATTAAAGACTGGGTGGAATAAACTCTGGTTCTATAGCTATCCTCCATCTTGCCAGTATTTTTTTTTATTAATAAATAGATTATTCTATAATTAGAAGTAGAATCTAGTATATTAAAAAGTTTTAATTCCAGTTTGTTTTTGTCAGTAAGATAAAAACTGGTAATTTCTTAGAAGTTAGAAGAGATTACAATTGAAATTAAATTTTCATAGGACTTATTTTATTTCATTAAAAAAAATCTGCATTATTTACTAAAAATGAGAATGAAATTAAGCAAGTCAGTGTCAGTTTAAACAAAAACAAATGAACATTTGGCAAGAACTTCTCCCTTCAACAGTTGAGTGCACACAGAGTTTCCTGATCTAAAAAGAGAAAATGAGACAAGAACCATGTCTTGATAATTAATCCCAACTGTAATCATTTATCTTCTTTACATATGTGTGACTTAATTTGGGAACAGCAGCATATTTATGCAAAATTCTGTACCTTATTAAGGATCAACTTGTTAAGGAAGAGGATCAACCTATCCCGTTCAAGTTTATCTGTACACTATTGAAATAAACGAGAATTTAGTCAGAAGTGAATAAATACAAACACAGATTAAGACATTATCATCACTGGACAAAGCCAACCAACAGCCAAGAAGAAATAACGTCATCCTGTAAACAAAGAATATCAGAGAAGACTGTCAATAATTCCAATTCCTCGATGTCTTACATTTTTTGTAACTTTATAAAACATGTCTAATTTCTCTAGAAAGGCAGATACTTTAAGTCATAAACAGATTAATACATAGCCTTTAAGAATGCATATTAAAAACTGAAGTAAATGAAAAAATTGGCCCAAATGACACTCTCAAGTAAAAATTCTAAACAATTGATTAGTGATATCTCACATAAATCACATAATCATGAACACAATAAGGAAAAATTTATCTGCCTAAAACACAAATGCTATGTCACAAGTACTCAGGGTCACTGGAATAAAAGTGAATTAAAATTCAATTGTGAAATTTGGTGTAACAGCAAAATAAAGAATTTTCATCTGGTTATTTCCTGGGTCTGTTCTCTGAACTTACTCAGAACCAATTTTCTATCCCACAAAGCATGGCTGAGAATTAAGGCAATTATAGCAAGCACCGATGACCATTTTAAAAACTGGTGAAATGATTTGAAGGCTGAAACACTGAAATTTAAATTGTTAAAAGGAATGTAAACACAAATGAAAGAATAAGATGTATAAATTATAGAGGTAAGTAATGCTCAAATTTGAGCTGTATAATGGATGAATAGGTCAGTTTGTTCTTGTCTCACCTTGCTCAAATGTTAAACAAACTTTATTAAATTAAAAAAAAAACAACACTCCAAAACTATGCTAACTCAAGCTTCCCTTTCTAAAAGTTTTACAATTTTCATACTTTGAAGCTTAGTATGCTAGCATCATTTAATATTCTTCCAAAATGTCCGTTTCCAAAGAATATTCAACTCTAAAAGTCACTATTTCTTTTATACACCTGTCCAGTTCATCTACACTTAAAGATTGGGAAATAGGTCACTAAAGTTCACAAGCAGCAACTAAAAAAAGTAAACTGACATGGACAAATGGTAACCCATTATTTTTTTCCTGTTTTCCTAACTTATATTTAAATAAGTATAATGTAAACAACAGAAAAATTCAGGTAGAAAGTTCTGGCAGCAACATGATCAAATAGAACTTTAGCTCTGAAAATTTAACATATACTCCAATGACGTTATCAAACAGCAGTTTCTTTTAATGACATCCTTACCCTTTCTAACATTCCAATGATATATCTCGTATCTGTAAAAGGTCCTATTTCTTCATGACATCTGCCATAAACAATAGCAAGGGCTTGTAAACATAAACACTTCATGTTTACTTTTGGGGTGAGCAGGAAACGGTGATAAAGTTCATTGAAAAATTCATACCTAGATTAAAAAAAAAATTCACAATCAAATTAACCATGAGACTAACAGTGAAAACAAGTATAACAAGCTATGAAGAGTAGCTTACGATCGTTTAATTGATCCACTGTCTTCATTCTCATCTTCCTCCAATAGTAATCTCAGGTAATAATCACCTATTTTGATCTCCTCTGCCAAGCACTCATATTTAACCTTTATTAATAAAAGCAAATTACATTATTATGGTTTACATTTTTGGCAGTTTTCACACAATCATTTCTTAAAATTCTTCCTATTCAGAGCTTTCTTCTTTCCTGATGAGATAGTCTTTAACAAAAAAAAAATCATTTCTTAAAATATCTGGTAATTAATTATAATTAATATGACTTAATAATTCAGTCAAATGTTGAGAGTCAGAATTCCACACTAGTTTTATGAATGCAAAGCTTTCAAATAAAAGCTGTCACAGGACTATATAGTGTCTAAGAAAATTTAAGGGAAGAGAATACCAAAATACCATACAGAGACAATCTGGCTACAACTAAGCAAAAAGTAAATGATCACACACCATACACAGTTTGCCAAACTCATACATGGTACTTAGGGCCTTCCTTGATCTCCCAACACATCAACTATATTTTATGACTTTTTTTATACTATTCATTTTTATATAGTATTCATTCTCCATATGCCCAGGTTACATATTGGAATTAATATGTGAGGGACTAGCCTAAAATCTGGAACTGGGGTCTGTCTCAAGCAAAGATTTGCGAACAACTGTAAAAATGAATTTCTTGACCAGATTATCAAAATTCTTTTACCAAAGCCTAAAATGACTATTTTCTAAAATTATAAACTATACAATATAAAATATCTATGTATATCCATTTCATTTTTTCCCATAAATTCTGAGTTTCAATTTGTTCAACTCCATTTATTAAGATGCTATTCCCATCTCTCTTAAGAATTTCCCACAGTTTTTTGTGATCCACAGAGTCAAAGGCTTTGGTGTAGTCAATAAAGCAAAAGTAGGTGTTTTTCTGGTACTCTCTTGCTTTTTTGATGATCCAACAGATGTTGGCAATTTGATCTCTGGTTCCTCTGCCTTTTCTTAGCCCAGCTTGAACATCTGGAATTTCACAGTTCATATACTGCTGAAGCCTGGTTTGGAGAATTTTGAGCATTACTTTGCTGAAATAATTACTTTCTCCATCCCTAAGTAACAACAACAAAAAAGCCCCATGAGGATGGATGAGAGCACTGAGTCAATAAATATAAATGAAAAAGAAGACCAAGAACTGATCCTTCAGGGCCAACCAACATTTAGCAGTTGAACAGTAAGGAAAAATGAGCAAAGGAGGCAGAAGGGACAGTGAAGGAGAAAATCCCCGAGAATATAGATTCCCAAAACCAAAGTAAAGAAAGGTTTTTCAAAGGGGAGGCAATAAGCAATAACAAATTATCAGTAAGTTTATGAAATGCAGTTGGGTTAAAGAGCAAAGTCAGCAGAATCATGAACATGATCAAATTTACAGCTATAACAAAAATTTAGACACATAAGAGACAATATACCACCATGTTTCTTGTTATTTTGTCATTATTCACATCACTATTTTAACAGAGCAGCAAAAAAAAGGCCACATTCAGAATTAAAATAACACAAAAAGTCTATTGAACAAGATACGAGAAATAAGAGGAACAGACTATGTTTCAGCAAAGACTCTAAAGGGAAAGAAAATGAGCACAGAACAGATCTAGAATGCATAGGATCAAATTTATTAAAACTCCTACATGATTTTCAGGTACAAAACTTAGGTACTTAACAAAATTAATTTTTCATTTGTCTCAGGCAAAGTGAAAGTTTTCCAATATTTCCTGTATAAAATTATAAGTGAAAGGGAGAGATATACATTAACCAATTACAAATTTAAAAAAAGCATAACTCCAAACTAATACTTTAAAAAAATAAATACATTACAAAAATTAAAATTTACCTCAAATTCATGGTGGTTCCAGGAGATAACATTAGCACTACCAAGCTCTCTATCAATATTAAATGCTCTCATTTCAGATTCAAGACTATCTCTCAATTCTTCTCGTGTTTTGAAATTCCAAATTAAGTTTGACCTGGCATGGTCCTGACCAAACCTAGATATACATGTAATCAGAAAATAGTGGAAAGCAATAATTTAAAAAAATCTACAAATATCACTAACAATAATTTATAATAAGCAACAGGAGAATTAATAAATGTTAGCAAACAAAAATAAAGAAAATAAAATCTCTGTAAAGTTAGTATGGTAAAATATTAATAGTAAAATTTCAGACACCAGTACACAGGTAAAATTCTTTAACTGTTTCTGAACATTTGAAAGTTTTCATTATAAAATGGTGAAGGGGAAAAAAATGAAGCCAAACCATAAAACAAATCTCTAAGGATTTCAAAACAAGGAACTGATACTACAATTTTAATATTTATTGCTAATTTAAATTAAGAAAAGAATTATAAATAGATATGACACTACAGGTTGGGGATAAGAATTTCCGGATAATTGAGTGTGGAAGTGTGTGGGATGAGCAACATTCCAGATTAGAACCTTACAAACTATCCAAGAAAAAATACTACTAAACTGCCAACCTCTGATGGTATTTTCAAAATACCTTTCTTTTATTCCTGCAATTATTTAACTATCATAATAAATTTGAATTCAAGTCTGAACTATGGGTGGGTTGCCTTCCTACCATTCATTTTTAACCTGCAATCCTCCTAAAAAGTCTGATACCAGAATTTCAAGGGAATTCTAGGGAGGACAACATACCTGAGAAATTCCAGAAGAAAACCAAGGACTATTCTTAAGGCTGTATTATAAACATACTACACTCATAAAGTACTGTGGGAAGATTCTAAAGCACTTGTTTTCCACTATATAATCAATAGCAGCTTCCAGACTGAGTACTGTGAATTTTCTCAAAAAAGTTTTTGCAAACTCCCGTCGAATGTTTCAAAGTCCTTCAATGTGGTATAACTGTGAGTATGAGGGTTTTAAGATGGAGGGTGCTGGGAGGGGGTGGGATGAAACAGTAGATGGGGAGGAGAGGCTACCATATTAGAAAGGCTGGAAAAGTATACGAGGTCAGCTCACTGGATGTCCATTTCCCACAGGTCTCCTTATGTTTTTATCATCCAGCTCTTTTAAGACTGTATTTCCAACGAGGCTTAAAGAAGTTACAGTTATATCTAAGCCATAATAAAGTGTTTTAAAGTAACCATCTCTAAGCCTTAATAATTCTAAAAGTTCTTTTGGGCCGTCAGACTACCAACACTCTATAAAAAGTCTTAATTTTATGAAAGCATCACTAATCACATCAATCTTTCTTTTTTAATCATACCAATCTTAACAGCTATAATTCTTGACCCTGATAGCATAAAGCACTGCATCCAGGCAAAATCAAACAAACAAAAAACTGTCATGATTTTTCTAAGAGCAATGCTACATTTAATTAACTGGAAAAGAGGCCTAAAGTTTACCTATAATAGAAGAGATCCCAGTTTGCTTCTATTTTTATTCTCTGTCTTCTCTTTCGAAGAACTACTGGCTTTTGATTTATATTCTGGAAAAGAAAAAAATGTCATAGTGCTCAATCTGGAACTATTAAATAAGCTCAGTGAGAATATCATTATTTTGTAAGTGATGAGAAACATTTCCATTATCAAATTTTGACAGAGACAAAATTAATGAGACAGAATCTATAAAATATAATATAGAATATGAGATTATATCACAATGTATTTATAATACTTTGTCAGCATATATCACTATTGTGTTGCTGAAACAGTTTCCATGTGGCCTGAAGTTATTTTTTTAAATCCAAATTTTGTTAATAACAGTCAAAAACAGGTGACTTATTTTAAATATTTACATGCAATTGATATAAAAATCATATCACAGCAAAACAATAAACACAAAAGATTAGAGGTTACTAAATTGCTACCAAAGCCAAGAGGAACCAGTATAAATTGAAATAGCTGATGGACAAAAACTAAGTAGCTATATTCATACACATGTGAAGTACAACTTGAATTTAATTTATTAAACAAAGAATATCAAAGACAATTTCACATACCAGGCAGTTTAGTGCATTTCACACATGTAGCAGGGACTTAAACTCACCATATTGTTTCTGTCCTGAATTTAATAGTTAAAAGGGGGGAAATTTTTTTAAAATAAAAATGAGTGAGCCTATATCTCTACACTATCTCTATTACACATATTCTGCAAGGATGCAATCATTATAAATTATCTTTAAGACTAAAGGACCACCTAGTTCTCTAAAGTCTATGAACCAAATTTTAGGCAGTCATAAATGTATCTGAGAATTCAAAGAAAGTTATGGTCCTATTTCACAGAAAGGCACATAACATAAAGTATATAACTGGAGGGGAAGATTTCAAAGATTTCTTGGAAGTCTGAGGTTAAGAATCTTTGTTCCAAGTAAAATATGTAGATATTTCAATCATGAAATACTAGTCGTCAATGTGACAAAAGCTAAAAGTAGAAAGTAGCATAGATTAAAACACGAAAGTCAGTAACTTCATTAAAGAAGTGGCAAACCATATAAAATAAACCATCAAAACAGAGTAGATATTACAGAAAGAATAAAGGCAAAGTAGTAAATTTTTAAAAGTAAATGCTGTTTGAAATATAAAACATATTGACTAAAGAAATACTCCCTACAAATTTTAATTCTATGCATTATCATGAAAACTAATGTTAGGTGACTTGAATAAAGTATATAAATAGCTCAAAATTTTAGTTTTAATGACAAACCTTTCCTTAAAACCTCTAATTAAGTAATACTATCTTCAATTTCCCCTGCCCTCAGGAGAAAAAGCTGGGAGTCTAGAGTTATAAAAATGTAAACACGATGCAGAAAAAGGACAACCAGCTTGTCATAAACCAAGCTGACTGATTTAGAGACTTAGGTTAAAAGCTCTAACTGGCTAAACAAACCCCTAACTGTAAACAAATTTACATAATATAAACAAGAAAAAAGAATTCTTTACATTAGCCAAAGGTTACTATTAACCCAATACAGAACATCAGCCACAAATGGAATTGACTTCCTAAACATTCTGATTACATAAGAAATGCAGGTTATTTTAAGACTAAACAGTTAATCTGGACAATGATTAATTTCCAGACTTTAGTTGAAGCTCATTAATTAGATATTTTCATATTAATATTTCCATGAATAAAGTAGTCACAAAGATTACTCACTGTTTCATAAAGAAATTAATGTTGAAAACAGTACTCTGGCAAAAATAATTAGTTTACTACCACAATAATTTATTGACTAGCATATTAATATTTGGTGTCATTATTTGCTTAGCACTTTAGATAATACCTAATGTAAATGAAACCAACTGACTGATAAAACATTACTGAAAATAAAAATATTTCTTTTCCATCTGAATTGTTATCTTTAAATAATAGATGCCATCCACATTTTTAGCTAAACTAGCTTTGTGTTCAATTTTATACTGGATAAATGTTATGTATGAAATCTGATGCAAAAACTTATTTTCTGTATAATTACACCCAACAGCTTAAAACAGCTATTATTTCAGCAAGGGGTTTAACTACCTGATCCCAGAAGCTTGCTATTTTTAATAACTGTGAAAATCATTCATATCTAAAGCCTTTCAATTTTCAAATGCTATAGCAATATTATCATGACATGTATTGCCTTTTATTGTATGTACTTTTAATGTTAACTTTCTTGTACATCAAAGCAACCTCAAAGGACAGAGATGAGAGGTACTGCTATTCTTATTTCATGAAAGAGGAAAATAAAATTCTGAAAACCCTTAACTTACCATATGGGTTAGTAAGTGACAGAACCAGGCTCAGATGTAGGTTAACCAATTCAAAGTTCAGTCTTTTTACTATCCTAGACATTCGAAAGCCTATCTATTGATTCTTTATAGTGACATGTCACTCATTCAAATTAACATTAACTCATTATGCTTATGGAGAAGGAAATGGCAACCCACTCCAGTATTCTTGCCTGGAGAATCCCAGGGACAGAGGAGCCGTCTATAGCGTCGCATAGAGTCAGACATGACTGAAACGACTTAGCAGCAGCAGCAGCAGCATTATGCTCAGGTTCTAAAGAACTTAATTTTGGTCTCAATTTCAGATAGACACATAAGATAATAATATTTCTGTTCTAGTGTACCTGATGCCTTATGTTTAGATATTCTGGAAATTCATTAAGAAACCTATTTGTTTTTGGAAACATATTACTTTCCTTGAATAAGAAAACAGCTACCATAAATAAAGAGATGGTTCACAGGAAAGAATATAAATGAGGTCAACAAAATCCGAGATCAAGTCAACTTTTACATGAAACCTTAAACCATTTTCAACCACTGTACATTCCATCTTAGACAGAAGGATGAATATTACTGGATGAGGTTCTCTAGCACATACTACATGCGGAAGAATGAAACAAACTGTTTCAGATCTGACCTTGATTTGAGGAATAATGAAATTTAAGTACACACAGTAAATTTAACAATTAAGTCTTGGAAGTTCAGAAGAAGATTTTATTGTTACCTCTTTTTGTGCAATGCCCATTCTATCCCTCCAGTGCATTAAGACAAGATCCACTTTTTCTTTGGCAAATTTTTCAACTTCTTTAGCAGCTTTTCCAGCTAGTCTTTGCCACTCTGGAACTTTATTAAATTTTCCATACTGATCCTATTAAATAATGTTGAATTCGATTACAGTCCTATATTTGTGAATTTATTTTAAAAATATAATTAGAGTGAGTCACACCATTTTACACGATTAAACAAATACTCAGAAAAACAAACAAACAAACAAAACAGTGGAAAAACAAAGTGAACATTTCCACAACATATTATATATTTTGTCCAAGGAAGCTTAACTTTTCTATTTTTCAAGATGAATACTTTAAGAGGGATAGCAAGATATTAAGTGGGAGATGGGTGCAGACAGAGAAATGAGGTGAAGAAAGGAAACGAACACATTCAAATTGTTATTATATGACATCATTACAACAGCATATCTTGAAAGTCGTTAAGTAATTTTCTCAAAGATAGCCAACAGTAATAATTAAGACTGCTTTGTAAAGGAAAAAAGTTGTACCTAGATTAATTTTTTCAGTGTTAGCCTCTTTCACCATTTATCAATTATATATAATGTGTTTTTACTTTATACATTTGAAACACATTTTTAAAAAATCCATTATGTAATGTGCTATATGCTGAGTTAGAATAAAAAATACAAGATTATTACTATTCATAAAATTTGATTCTGGTGATAACTGCTTCATTCTAAAGATTATAGAACTGTACACTAAAAATAGGTAAAATTTTTGGGATGTAAATTTTACTTCAATCAAGCTGTGAACGGTAATTACTTAAAGGAACACTACTATTTAAGAGTGTTTCACAAAAAAAGTACTCTTTCATACTGAAAAAACACTTAGGACAAGGATATTTACCATTGCTATTTTCACATTATCTCTAACATGCATCCTATCGGTATCCTTCTCAGGAACTGGATCGGAGCTGTCCAAATATGCCAGCAAGCCTGGGGGCTAAAAACAACAAGAAAACAAGATATACAATCCATTTTCAAAACAACTGCACACACAAAATCTAGCCTTCAAACACCAAATAAATTAATACAGTAATTTAGCTGGAAAGGGCGAATTTAATTCAGAGGATCATTGTATCTACTACTGTGGGCAAGAATCCCTTAGAAGCAATGGAGTAGCCCTAACAGTCAACAAGAGAGTTTGAAATGCAGTACTTGGGTGCAATCTCAAAAACAACAGAATGATCTCTGTTTGTTTCCAAGGCAAACCATTCAATACCACAGTTATCCAAGTATATGCCCCAACCACTAATGCCGAAAAAGCTGAACGGTTCTATGAAGACTTACAAGACCTTCTAGACTTAACACCAAAAAAAAAAAAGGATGTTCTTTTCATCATAGAGGACTGGTATGTAAAAGTAGGAAGTCAAGAGATACTTGGAGTAACAGGCAAATTTGGTGGAGTACAGAATGAAACAGGGCAAAGGCTATAGAGTTTGCCAAGAGAATGCACGGTCACAGCAAACACCCTCTTCCAACAATACAGAGACAACTCTACACATGGACATCACCAGATGGTCAATACCAAAATCAGATTGATTATATTCTTTGCAGCCAAAGATGGAGAAGCTCTATACAGTAAGCAAAACAAGAAGCTCTATACAAGAGCTGATTGTGGCTCAGATGAATTCCCTATTGCAAAATTCAGACTTAAATTGAAGAAAGTAGGGAAAACTACTAGACCACTCAGATTTGACCTAAATCAAATCTCTTATGATTATACAGTGGAAGTGACAAATAGATTCAAGGGATCAGATTTGACAGAGTGCCTGAAGAACTATGGATGGAGGTTCGTGACACTGTACAGGCGGCAGTGATCAAAACCATCCCCAAGAAAAAGAAACGCGAAAAGGCAAAATCGCTGTCTGAGGAGGCGTCACAAACAGCTGAGAAAATAAGCAAAGGTAAAGGCAAAGGAGAAAAGGAAAGATAAACCCATCTGAACGCAGAGTTCCAAAGAATAGCAAGAAGAGATAAGAAAGCCTTCCTCAGTGATCAATGCAAGAAATGGAGGAAAAAACCAGAATGGGTAGGACTAGAGAGCTCTTCAGAAAAATTAGAGATACCAAGGGAACATTTCATGCAAAGATGGTCTCAATAAAGGACAGAGATGGTATGAACCTAACAGAAGCAGAAAATATTAAGAAGAGGTGGCAAAATACACAGAAGAACTGTACAGAAAAGATCTTCACGACCCAGATAATCATGATGGTGTGATCATGCACACTCATCTAGAGTCAGGCATCCTGGAGTGTGAAGTCAAGCGGGCCTTAGGAAGCATCACTATGAACAAAGCTGGTGGAGGTGATGTAATTCCAGTTGAGCTATTTCAAATCCTAAAAGATGATGCTGTGAAAGTGCTGCACTCAATATACCAGCAAATTTGGAAAACCCAGCAGTGGCCACAGGACTGGAAAAGATCAGTTTTCATTCCAATCCCAAAGAAAGGCAATGCCAAAGAATGCTCAAACTACTGCACGATTGCACTCATCTCACACACTAGTAAAGTAATGCTCAAAATTCTCCAAGTCAGGCTTCTTCAATATGTGAACTGTGAACTTCCAGATGTTCAAGCAGGTTTTAGAAAAGGCAGGGAAACCAGAGATCAAATTGCTAACATCCGCTGGATCATCAGAAAAAATAAGGGAGTTCCAGGAAAACATCTACTTCTGCTTTATTGACTATGCCAAAGTCTTTTGACTGTGAGGATCACAACAAACTGTGGAAAATTCTACAAAAGATGGGAATACCAGACCACCTCATCTGCCTTCTGAGAAATCTGTATGTAGGTAAAGAAGCAATAGCTAGAACCGGACATGGAACAACAGACTGGCTCCAAATTGGGAAAGGAGTATGTCAAGGCTGTATATTGTCACCTGCTTATTAAACTTATATGCAGAGTACATCATGCAAAATATGTCAGGCTGGGTGAAGTACAAGCTGGAATCAAGACTGCCAGGAGAAATATCAATAACCTCAGATACGCAGATGACACCACCCTTATGGCAGAAAGGGCAGAAGAACTAAAGAGTCTCTCAATGAAAGTGAAAAAGCTGGCTTAAAACTCAGCTTTCAGAAAACTAAGATCATGGCATCCAGTCCCATCACTTCATTGCAAATAGATGTGGAAAACGTGGAAACAGTGACAGACTTTATTTTCTTGGGCTTCAAAATTACTGTGGATGATGACTGCAGCCATGAAATTAAAAGACGCCTGCTCCTTGGAAGAAAAGTTATGACCAACCTAGACAGCATATTAAAAAGCAGAGACACTACTTTGCCAACAAAGGTCCATCTAGTCAGAGCTATATTTTTTCCAGTAGTCATGTATGGATGTGAGAGTTGCACTATAAAGAAAGCTGAGGACCGAAGAATTGATGTGTTTGAACTGTGGTGTTGGAGAAGACTCTTCAGAGTCCCTTGGACTGCAAGGAGATCCAACCAGTCAATCCTCAAGGAAATCAGTCCTGAATATTCATTGGAAGGACTGACTCTGAAGCTGAAACTCTAATACTTCGGCCACCTGATGTGAAGAACCGACTCACTGGAAAAGACCCTGATGCTGGGAAAGTTTGAAGGCAGCAGAAGGGGATGACAGAGGATGAGATGGTTGGTAGGCATCACCTTCTGGATGGAGTTTAAGCAAGCTTTGGGAGTTGGTGATGGAGAGGGAAGCCTGGCATGTCTCAGTTCATGGGGTCGCAAAGAGACGGACACAACTGATCGACTGAACTGAACTGATGATTTGGCTACTGAGGATAACACTTATTATATGATAACTCCTTTGATTAGTATCTTTTATATTAAAAACAAACAGATAAACTAAAAAAAAAAAAGAAACAACCCCAACCCTTAACTGTATAAATAACTTATCAATGAAATTTTATTGGGTAAGAACATATATTCAACTGACTTACCAAAATGCGTTTCAACAAATTTGTTGCAGTTGCATTATCAGCTGTCCAGAGTCCAACTAAATGTCTACTTAGCTGTCTGAAAAAAGCAGACGTTGAGAAAGGTTTGCTGCTTTATCTCAGCTAGAACAAAAAGGAATTTTTAAGAACAACATATCATGTAAGAAATAAGACTACAGTTAAAAAAAAAATTGTACCTACTCAATTCTCTGTAATAACCTATATGGGAAAATAATCTAAAAACGAGGGGATATATATATAACTGAGTCATTCTGCTGTACATGTGGATCTAACACAACACCCTAAATCAATTATACCCCAATAAAAATTAAGGAAAAAATCATTCTGATGTTAAATACTAAAAATTAATATTTTAACTTGAGATATATGAGTTAGTAATTCAAATACTACTAACATTTTTAAAGACAGGGGAACAATCAGACTTGATAATATAATTAGTTTGAATTACAAATCCTGCTATAGTGATCACATTATTCTGAATTCTTTGGAATTCTGAACATGAGCAAAAGTCAACTATATTCTAATATATACTTCTTGGCAAGGTCAGAGATAGAAAATATTTTCAGTTTTGAAGTCTGAACAAAGACTTAAAAAGCACTTTTGAGTTAAAAGAATATTTTGATTCAAAGTGTGAATCTAAGATTCATGTTGAATCTAGGACTTAGTGATTTATTAATCTTAATCCCCATGATGATATCTGTTACCCAGACTGGAAGCTTCTCATAACAGGGAATACATTTTGTTCACCACAGACCCTTCTATGCTTTGGTAGGGATTCAACTGCCATTTGCAATAAGAATGAGGATGAATCCTGTGAGGGGAATGACCAAATGACCACTTAGGGGCATTTATGTTACACTACCAGAAGAAAGCAGTTTAATAAGAAAACCCAAACTGTGCTTTGTTCTGACACCAAAAAACCAAAAATCACTACTAAAACTGTTCACTGTATGTCTCTCTGGAAGCCTATTAACATACTGAAGTAATAACACATAATTTCCTTCACTGGCATTTGCTAAGTATCGTATCAATGATTCCTAAAAAGATTTTAATTAGAGATAAGAGGTAACATTTTATAGCAGCAATTTATAAAAGATAAAGCAATGCAAATGATAAATAGTATTTCTATTATAATTTGACAGTTTTTCAATATTGTTACTGATCATAGTAGGGAATGATTGATTAAATTGATTGATTAATTAAACCGATTGATAAAAAGGAAAACAGGAAAGGGCTAACATGGGGGTTTAATGGAATAAGATATTAAATAGTCTTTACTATGTAATATCTTAGCAAATATACAAGGCAGTACATCAAAGAAATAACCTTCTTTTTATATCTTTTTGTTTTCACAGGCAACACTGAAGACTACTTCTATGGCTAGTATTTTCAAGTAAGGGATGCAGATAGCTTCTCATAACAGTAAAAACAGAAAACTACTGGCAGAGCAGCATACTACAGTAGCCAATAACCAAACCTAGGTGATAAATAAATGAAATTTATATTTCTATAATAGAGTAAGCATAAGTCATCAATTTACACTATTATTTTAAAAAGCCAAAAAGAACATGATTAAAATATCACATCAGGAATTATAAAGAAAAATTAAATAAAAGAGCTGGAATTCATACAGTAGGGAGTAAACAGATTTGTGTGTTTCCTCTTATTTGAAGGATTTTTTATAAAAAAAGATGATTTGCCTAAGGGAAAATTATTTAACTGCAAGAGATTTAGGATAGGCTTGATTAGGTAAGGCTGGCTAGATACTGAAGTTTTCTTTATTCTTAGAGTACCTAACAGACAAAAGTTATTTAAAAATCACTAGATGGGTCAGCTACATACAAGATAGCCAGGAAGAAATATATGGAGAAAAGCCTTGGGGACATGTGGTTCTAGTTCCATAAGCTACAAAGCACTCTTTTCCATGTTCCAGTCCCATGACTATGCGGTGTAGAGCTTGATGAGCAGAGAGTGGGGGGAAAAAAGCAGCTTTATTTTTTTCCTCCCCAGTTATGCAGGGACGGGGACAATGATCTTTGGGTACAATCTTTCCATAAGGAAAGGACAAAAACTAGGTAAATCAAAAGAAAATGAAACATTTGTATAATCCAAACATTCTGTTTTATGTAATATCTGAACCCCTTCTCTAAACAAGTTAGCTGATAGCAAATTAAATTTAACCTACCTATTTGTAAGCATCCTTTGATCTGAGCTTATTGTAAACATCGCAGTATGCAAGTGTCGAGGTAAGGCACCTTCACTTAGGGCAAGCTCCTGCATTTTTGTAGCAATTTCTTTGTCACCTTCCTTTGGAAAAAGGGTAAGATGATCCCTAAAGCAACAATCTAAAGCAAGCTATTTTAATTTTGTTAATTTTACATCTCTAGATAAAATAATTATTCTGTATACAATGCAATAAAACTTAAATATGCAACTCCGATTATCCAAAAATAACATAGGTGAATAATAGTATAAGTCATTTAAAAATATTATTTGCCTTTGGAATAAGGTTTTAATGTTCCAAGATATAGTTACCTCATGAATTATACATTGCTTAACTTTAAAATTAGGTTCATTCCTTGAGTATATATCAGCCAATAAAGGGCAGAGGTGACTTACAGAAATCAGTAATTCCAGCAAAGGCATCTGCAAACCTGCTTGCTCTTGTTGGTAAAGATATATTCACTTTTATGGTGAATACAATTCTTTATTTTTTTAAAAAAGAATGATGTGATTTTGAGGTAGTTCTTTCTATTCTGATTTCACTCTGCTTATTTAGACTTACTTTTACAAAAGGGTAGGATAGACAGGACTACTAACCAAAGATAAACAAAGTTATGAATTAAGCAAGCACTGTGATATTTAAGATGTGTGAAAAAGTAAAAATACAATGCTACTGAAAAAAAGTACAAGTATATAGTATAACTGAAGATTCAGAAGTATACAAATGTACGTGCAGTATGAATATGTACATATATCGTTTGATACAAATGTAGTATGTATATAAATATACATAGTACGTATATGTACATATATAATTTTGAACATGGTCTGAGAGGAAATTCACCAGAAAACTAACGGCTCTTGTCTCTGGATGGTAAAAATACAGGTGATTTATTTGTTCCTTGTGTTTTTTCTGAAAAACCCAATACTTCTTAAAAAGATCATACACTGCTTTCAAAATCAGAAAATAGCAACTTAAGATACTTGCCAGGATCTTTGCGTAAATTAAAAAAGCCTTCCTTACACAGACACTGCTCTAATAACCGGCTAGGAATCTGACACCTGTGGCTTGTACTGAAGTCAAAATGGCCTTTGGTTATATCTGGCACTCATTAAATATCTCTGAATGAATGGTAATATATTAATGGATCAAATCCAGGAAGACTCTTTGGTATGGTCTCATGGTCCTAACTGTCCTTGGAGACTTCAAGCTCTGTAAGTGAGAGATGTGGCATTTACTTTGGAAGCTAATATTAAGCATAGAACCCATTAGCTAAAGGGGGACAATTCACTTTTATTTCATGTATACACTAAAAATTCAAATAAACTTTGATGCTCCAACCAATCTAAGTCTATACATAATTTTCAATAGCTGTTTAAGAGTATACTAATACTGTGCTTATTATTTAGCTACTTGTTATATTTATGAACTATAATGGCAGAGTTTTTTGACAAAAGGAACACTCTTACATTTTATCCAATTATGACAACAAAAGTACATAAAAATTCAAAAGCCATTAGACTGATACTGTAAACATCTAGTATGTAAGTTCATATTCATAGCCACTATCTCATCTTCTAAAAAATATCTATCTATCTATACAAAGTTGCTCAGTTGTATCTGACTCTTTGCGACCCCAAGGACTGCAGCCTGCCAGGTTCCTCTATCCATGGAATTCTCCAGGTAAGAATACTGGAGTGGGTAGCCATTCCCTTCTCCAGGGGATCTTCCCAATTGAGGGATAGAGCCTAGATCACCCACAGGGCAGGTGGCTTCTTCACCATCTGAGCCACCAGGGAAGCCCAAGTAAACTGGAGTGGGTAGCCTGTCCCTTCTCCAAGGGATTTTCCCAGCCCAGGAATCAAACTGGGGTCTCCTACATTGCAAGCGGATTCTTTCTTTACTACCTGAGCTACCAGGTGAGCCCCAGAAAAAACACATAAGGCTAAAGCAACTATCCTGGAGAAGCAAGAGCTCATGTCCAACAATATCATGTCCTGATCTCTGGGGTTTAAATATATATGCAGGTTAGCATAAGGAACTTTTTGTTACAGTATTTATTTAATACTGCTTGGCTATAAACTAACTCCATTAACATTTCCATATAGACTTAGTACCTGAATGAAGTTTCAATACCATCACCACTACCATCCCCAAAAGAGAGGAAGAGAGAAAGAATGCTAACTTTTCTTTTAAAATAAAACAAATAATGGAGGACCAGAAAAATTCATTTGCTCTAAATCTACTTACTTAAGAACTTTAAATTCTTAGTTTATTATTGAAGGATTGCTGTTGCAACTAGTTTAAAAGTAATATAAAGATTTAAAATTACTTTTCTTATCCAGAAATACTGCATATTTCCCACAAAAGACTGAAAGTAACTTTGTCAGCCCAAGTTAAAATAGCTAATCAACATTCAAGTAAGTTGAACTTTCAAAATTGTTTTCTCACCTCTATTATTGCCTTCATAACCAATCCAGCTCCCTTTATAATTGCCATGGAAGGATGCTTTAAAATAGGGAGAAAAAAGTATCACAGAATAAAAGAGCTTTATTGCAACATATTTAGGGGTTACTCTTAACAGGGATACACAGTTTTATGCAAGGTATTAAGCCATAAAATTGAAAGTGAAACCCTTTCACCCTTTCAAGCCATAAAATTAGTAAAAAGCTACTAGTCAGTTCACAGTCTGGTTTAAAAATTTTAGGTATTCTTACAATATAGCTTTACAGATACAGAAAACAAAGAGTTTACAGAAGTAGAAGCAGCTAGCGCTAATGTGAATAATTATATATATTCTACTTATTGGAATGATAAATATCAAATAATTATGATATTAAAATAGCAGAAATAGACATTTATAAATATAAATATCATATACACACATGTACATAATTAACATGATGGCATTATGTGAAATAAATGTTTTCAATTGCCAATGAATGGCCCTGCTAAAGCTCACCTTAAAATTTGGAAATTTATAAAGAAAAGAGAACTTTGAATTGACCACGGGAAAAAAATCAGTTTTTCACTACTTTTAAGATGGAAAAGAAGGGTAACAGAATCAAACATTGGTCAAAAGCCATCAGTAGAGTTCTACATGAAACACCAAGAAATCAGTGAAATATTCTAATATGATAACATACTAGGCTATATTTATTTAGATTACCACAGAAGCACATATATATTATTTTAAAAACAAACTGGCCGAAAAGTGGTTCTCTCGGATTAGTTGTTACCTGATGAGAAGTGTAAGCTCTCACCTGAAAGAGTTTAAAGAGTGTTCTTCCATTGGATGCTACCATCTCCAAGAGCATATCAAACTGCTGCCCTTCTGTTGTCTCACTATATGGAGCACACAGGGCAAAAGTAAGGAAGTCCAAGAGTGAACTAATAACTAGGGCACCAGTCCCATGATCCTAAAACAAAGCAACATATTACCTTGGCTTAGCACAGAGAGCTTCACTTAAAACACAGCTAATAATGGGGATTTTCTGTTATCCTATTATGTTAGAGGTAAACATTTAATTTCCCAACATGAGTTTTAAAGTGCTCTCAACATAAGTACTACTTGAAGCAGTACTTGTTTTACTAATATAGTATATCCAGTGCTTATCGTATCTCAAAAAGAAAACAGTTAAAATTCAGTCAGATTTCAAGAGACTAACCAAGACTCCTCAAATATAACTAATGTTATAACTAACATTAGTTAGTTAATGTTATAACTAACATTAGTTATAACTAATGTTAACGTATATTTGTATAAAAGGCAATCTTGGATAACACCTGCAAAGCTCTGGCAATCTGTTCATATTCCTTCTAGGTGTTATAGACTGCCCATCTCCAAAACTGTTAACCAATGACTGAGGAATAAAGATTTTATTCGCTTTTTTTAAAGCAAATGATTTCATAATGACATTTTTAAAGCAAACAGAAAAGCAAAAATCTGGGATATAACTAAAAAGTTAAAGGCTTTGCAATTTATCCTTTCCTAAATAATTAAATAGTCTTAAGACACTATTTTACAGTAACAAAATAAGTGAGCAAGCTGAACTGTAACCAATACTGAAATGAGAGCCACAATTAAAACAAAACAGAATTAAAAACTGTCCATGTTGTACTTCCAGAATATCTTCAATCTGTATGGTATCACTCATTAAGACAAACTTAACTTTAACTCACCACATGGGAATTAAATTTCTCCAGTAAGTTTTCCAGAAACTTCTTTGAAGAGAGAAGAGAAGCTTTGTTTAGCTGTTCTTGTCTTAAATCATAGTCATCATGCATGGGCTATTGATTAAAAACAGTGATAAATTCATAAGCAGTTGCATCACATAAAAGTCATTTATGAAGAGTACTCACTGAACACTGAAAGAACTAAAAACCACATCCTTTAAATTTAAGGCAGAAAGGAAACTTGTGATAAGATAAGCCAGCAGAAGTAACGACTTCTCCTGGGTCTGATGAGACTATGGATAATTTGCCTAACAAGTAAGGGTAACTAGTATTGCACAGGTTACTTTTGAGAGAATAAGTCATAGATCTCCCTTTTAAAAAGCAAATAACACCCACTCTACCTTCCCCAATTTTATAATATAAATTTGAAATGATAAACTTAGCATTTTAAAGTAAGTGTTAAAATTAGCAGCAAATACTTCCTTGTCTCAAGATGATTCTCTTTTGACAATTGGAATAAACTAAGAGCATAAAAAGGATTCCAGCATGACTGTTAGGAGTAAAGATCAAATTCTAATTCTGCTACTGACTACAGCCAACCTTAGACAGTTACATTACTTTAACTCTCAGTTTCATTTTCCTCAGCTATAAAGATGGAATAAAAATACTAACCTTATTGGACTATTATGAAGCTCAAATGAGATAATTCATGCAAAATTATTTCACACTATTGTTTTGTTGTAGTTTTTCCACTAATTCTTTTTAAAATTAATTTATGTATTTTTGTCTGTTTGGGGTTTTTCATTGTTGTGCACAGGCTTTCTCTAGTTGTAGCAAGTGGGGGGGCTACTTCCTACTTGTGGTACACAGGCTTCTCATCATGGTGGATTCTCTTGTTGTGGAGCACTAGCTTTAGGGAGCATGGACTTCAGTAGTTGTGGCTTGCAGGCTCCAGAGAGTGTGGGGTTCAGTAACTGCAGAGCACAGACTTAGCTGCCCTGTGGCAGCTAAGTAGAATCTTCCCTTACCAAGGACTGAATTGGGTCCACTGCATTGGCAGGTGAATTCTTAACCACTAGATCACCAGGGAAGTCCTTCACTAATTCTGTAATGGAATTACTTTAAAGATAATAAAATCCACTTTGGGGAATAAATGCAAGGTTTTACACAAGCGATTTTATACAAGATTTTATACAAGGGCTTCCGGGCTGGCTCAGACAGTAAAGAATCCGCCTGCGATGCAGGAGGCCTGGGTTCGTCCTCTGGGTTGGGAAGATCCCATGAAGAAGGAAATGGCTACCCACTCCAGTATTCTTGTTTGGAGAATCCCATGGACAGCAGAGCCTGATGGACTATACAGTCCATGGGGTCGCAGAGAGCCAGACACAACAGAGCAACTAACATATTCAAGTGATTACTTATGCTTAATGTATACCACTAAGTCTGCCTAAAATACTTACTATAAGGAACGTATACTCTACACAAAATTGAAATAAACCAAAAATGTCAAAGTTTTACAGCTTTCTCCCTACAACAACTGTCAGCAAGTTAGAGTTTTACTTCTCAAACAGCTTTCAAATGTGCCTTCTTTAGTCCATCCTACTTCAGCATTTCGTTTCTTACATGATAACTTGCTCTCCATGCCTCTAACTTGACCTCTAATCTATACGTCACATACCATCCATGAATTTTCTAAAATTCCAGAACTGACATGTTACCACTCTTCTGTTGAAAAAATCAGTTTTCTTTACTATAAAGCATACAAAACTAGCTTCCTCGATACAACAGGCTTTTTATGATGGCCTGTGCACACATCTCTAGCTGTACTCCTAAACCTGTGTGCCCCCATTCATACGTTATGATTCAGTCATATTCAATTATTTTTTGCTTCCCAAATAAACTTTTGCATATGCTAATTATTCTTCCTTAGGAGAGTCTTCTCACATCTAGAAAATATCTACCTGCCCTTTAAGATTCAGATCAAGTGTAACATATTCCATAAAGACTAACCTAGAACTCTTTATCTTCTTATCACTAAAGCAGAATCAAGTGCTGCTTTTTAGGGATCCCATGGCCCCTACTATGTATACAATTATATACACATGCCTACCTTACTAGACTGCCAGCAATTTCAGGGAAGGAATTTTGTCTTAACATCTTGGTATTTCTTTTTGTAAACAGCACAGTGCCTAGTTTATAGGCTGTGCTAAACAAATGTTTACTTGAATAAGTAAATGACTGTAAGAGCAAGTTAGGAAATATAGAAACATTGAATTTAGTTGAAACAATAAAATCTAGGTTTGTGGAAATTTAAATCATCAGTCACTCAATCAGTTTCCTTGAGAAAAAGCCAGTACTTACACACATGAGGGCACAGAGCATATCAACAGCTGCATGGATTACTCCATTGTTGCTCCTCTTGAGTGCTTTTACTACCTTCACTCCAAGACGCTCCCGAAACCTCATGAAACAAAGCAACAGCATATAGTAGCAACACCAGAGCATCAAACTATTATTTTATTATAAAAATATAACATAGTAAGCTATTTTAAGTTTCTACTACATTACTACAGCAATTACATATTCTGAATCCCATATCTAGAACGTAACAGTTTTCATAATTTTTTTCCTTTGGTGGGGTGGGGTACTGAAGGTTGATTAAAGCTGAAAGGCTTAAATCTGAACTTCCCATTCAAATTCACTAAAACAAGAGTCAGGAATATCATGGGTGACTGTATAAATAAGAGTCAGCAATATCATTTCCATTCATTCATCTTGCTTTTTTATATCTCATGAATAGAAACTACTATATTACTATATTAAAAAGTAACAAGTTTAATCAGATATAAAGAGGTAAATTTGTTGATTATTTGCTATTTTGAGTTTTTCAAATTCTCATTAAAAAAAAAAAAAATTAAGGCAACTTACTTTGGAAGCTGAGTAAAAGCTAGAAAACCAGCTTTGGAAGCCACAAGCCTCCTCACAGCCTGGAACTGACTCTCAAGTTCTGCATTTGAAGCAACAACATCCCCTTCTTGGGACAATAATGCCGTTATGGCATTATTGATCAGTTTTTCTTTGTTTTCTGAGAAGAGACCCTAGATGAGGAAGAGTATTTCAAAAAAGTTTCTATACCAAAAATTAATGACAATGAACAAATTATGATACAATTTATCTTACATCCTGCGTCACTGCATGCAGAACTCCACTATATGAAATGTTAGCGTTGAACCTGAACACAGCATCTGCAAAGTTGCCATCTGTAAGGAAATGAATGATTCAAAACGATTTAGAGGTCTGCACTGTTATTTCTTACTTATTGTTAAGCAGATGGATGGAAATGATATCATAGTTAAATCAATACTTACTTGGAGGTGTAGCCAAGAATCTGAGATGAAGGCTCTCTACCTCCTCATCGACAGGCATGCTGAGTAACCCCCATCGCTGACCTTTATGAGTTGATGTCATTTTCACACAAACATCTCTGTTACCAGAGGCTCTTACTCCATCCAGCAAACTTGCCAATAAGGAATCTCTAAGCAAAGTTAAAAATAAAAATGTTTTAGGATTGATAATCTAGGGAGATTTTCATTTAGAAAGCAGCATAGGCCCTTTAGAAGGTAACCTGCTCAGGGGGGCACCCTGGGTACAAGGGAAGTCCTAAAGAGAAGTGGCAGGAGATAACCTGACATTCCAATACTAGTCCTTCACTTTCCTGTTTCATATCATGTACAAGCTACTAAAGGAATGGATTGTTAACATTTTCCTCTTGTTTTCTAATTTTAAGATTATCTTTAACAGTTTTACTGAGAACTTACAAATCACAAAAGTCATTCAATTAAAATGTAGAGTCTGGTAATGTTTCACAGATTTATACAATTGTACAATCATTACGAGAATCCAGTTTTTATATATTTGCATCACCCCAAAAAGTTTCCTTGTGCCCATTTGCAAAAAACTCCTTAACCCCAGGCAACATTTTTATTTGCTTCTTTCTCTACAGTTTTACTTATTCAAGAAACTTCATCAAGAGACTAAAAAGACAGACAAGCCACAAGTTGGGAGTAAATATTTACAAAAGACATATCTGATAAACAACCATTACCCAAAATACACTAAGAACTCTTAAAATTCAACAATAAAAAGAATAACCCAATAAAAAAACAATCCTGCAGCCTGGGTGGGAGGAGGGTGTGGGGGAGAATGGATACATGTATATGTATGGCTGAGTCCCTTTGCTGTTCACCTGAAACAATCACAACTTTGTTAACTTGCGATACCCCAAAACAAAATTAAAGTGGGAAAAAATAAAAGGAAAAAAAAAATGATCCAAAGTCCTTTATCATGCTTTACATCATATAACATTAGGAAAATGCCAATTAAAACAAGGTACCACAACATTAGTGCTAGAATGGCCAAATCTGAAATACTGACACCACCAAATGCTGATAAGGATGTGGAGCAACAGGAACTCTCATTCACTGCTGGCTGGAATGCACAATGGTAGAGCCACTTTAGGAATACAGTTTGGCAGTTTCTTCTATCTTATAAAACTCAACAAACTCTTACCATATGCTCCAGTGACTACCTTCCTTTGTATTCACCTAAAGGAGTTTAAAACATACCCACACAAAACCTGCACACAGGTTTAGTTGTTTTACCATGTGGTGTTAGCTGTACTGAGTGTATTTTTATCAAAGTAACTGGCTACCACTATTCAAACAATTTAAGAATGAAAGTGAAAGGTATTATTTTTAAATACTTATAAAGTGTAAGTTTCAGAAACATACTTTATTTTCCATCCTTTGATTTAATACCAAGTAACCATTTTTATACTCTTAGAAACTTGAAAACTAAATGAAGGATATTTTAAATATGCAACAAAATAAAGTTAGTCTTTTCCTTCATCATAATTTTAAAGTTCTAGATAAAATTTATCTTTGTTTTTCCTCTTTGATGAAGCACTCTGCCTTGCACATACTAAGATCTCAAAAACCAGATGAATTAAAAAAAAATACCTCTCTGTTGAGGAGTATTTCCGTATTTGGCCTTTTATAAATTCAATGGTAAAAAGCTGTGGATTTTCTGAGTCACAAACCAATGCAAACACCTAAGGAACACAAGAAACAAGCTCCATGAAAGATGTTAATTTTATGGTATTCCATTAGAGACCTACACATCATTTAGTTGACAAAAGTCAATGTTTAAAAATGTAACTTGCTTATAATATCAGAATTTAAGAGGTGCTTAAAAGTCTCATTCAAGTTTTCATATAATAATAAAGTTTTCATTATATACTTGAAAAACAAATATTGTAATATTCATTGTTCTAAGATCAATAAATACAATGAAAAATTAAGTACAGATTGTTTCCTATTCTTTAGGCATAAAAAATATTAAAACAGAAAGAAAATGATTCTAATATATCAACAGGAAGAAATCTCATTTAAACTATTAACTGAAACTTACTTCTCCTAAGGGCTTCAATGTTGCAATATTATAAGTTGCTGGATCACGTTCTACTAAACATGTTTCTGTAAGCGCTAGAATTCTTTTTACAGGTTCCTTCAAACAAAATCAACATATATTAAAAAATTATTGAAAAAAATGTCAAAATCAGATGAACAAATTTTTACTTTTAACATATGAGCTTACCGAATGTCTAGGTGATATCTTCTGGACTATAAATTCTGCTAAAGATGTGATGGATTCATCAGTGCTGTATTTGCCAAATCGAAGATTCAAATATTGCTCAAATTCTAAAGGTTCTTTTCTGATCCGCAATGAAATACCTATATAGTTGCCAGCATGATCTATTGCACTTCTGATAATTTCTTCTCTTTGCTCTGATGCAAATAAATGCTGCATAAATTTTGAAATTTAAAATGTTAGGGTTGAAATAATTAACGTATGACCATAGTGAATCAACTCATAGGAAAGTGCCTGAAAGAGAAATTCTAGGAGAAAAAAAGGTAGATCTTATCAGAAGTAAATAAGCAGTATGTTGTGGCTGATTATTAAATTAAAATCAAAATCTGAAATATAAAGCCTTGAAAATAATCACTGAAAGGAAACTATCTCATAAATTCTCAGAGTCTGGTTCTCATCCCTGTGTGGAAAATACCACTCTGGGGCTCCAAAAGAGGCTCCAGGAAACCCAGCCAAGTCCAATGGAGGTGTTGGGTACTGCGGTGGACAGAATTCCAGTTTCAACTAAGGTAGCTCTGATTTCATCTGTTTTTATACAATGGGCTTTCTTGCAAGATTATCTTAAAAAATGCTTAAATGCTCACCAAGTCACTGGCCTATGAATACTACAAACCAATCTCCAGAGTGTATTAAGGATAAGGTATGGCTACTTGCATGTGGCACCCAGAGGCCAAAAATGCCGTGAAGGGCAGGATAGGAGAATCCCACAAGAAAGACCTGTCCTGCCCAGAATGCCATGAACTACCCTGTTGAGAAACATTGGATCAGATCATGTTTTAAAACCTGATTTCATTTCCAACAGCTTATCTCAGTCACTATGGATGCAGAAGGTATCAGTTTCTTGAATGAATCTGTCATGGTCTCATACCTGTAGTGAATTGACTTATTTTAGCTAGTGTTTTTTAAAAGGCAGATAGTATGCTTAGCCTCCTGCAACTCAAATTGGTGGTCCAAGGATCAGTCAAGTTAGCACCACCTGTGAGCCTGTTAGATGTATAGCATCTCAGTTCCAACCTCAATCCTGTGGAATCAAAATCTGAGACTGAACAAGATGCCCCAGCTGATTTGTATGCACCTTCAAGTCTGAGGCACGCTGCCACATACAATACTATGAATAAACGTGTTCCCAAACTTGCCTGAATGTTTAGCTCCATTCCAGAGTTTTAAAAATTGCCATTGCTAGGCCTCCCATCATATTAATAGAATCAGTATCTTCAGAAAATGAGTCAAAGGCACAGTGAGCTTAAAAAAATTCTCTTGGTGATTACAATGTGAAGCCAAGTTACACCCATGGACCTATACATTAAGGTTACCAAGTCTGACATCACCTATCATTTAATAAAAGTAGCATATGTGAAAAAAATTAAATTAAAACTGCTTGATGTCAACAAGCAATAAAACATGTTGGTAATTGAGGACTGTCACAATTCTTATCTTTAATGTTTACCTTATGCATTGGAAGACTTGATGAAGATCTGTGAAGCTATATTACTATAATTAGATGTTTTCCACCAAGAGGTTAATCATTATAAACTTCTACCACCCAGGGAAGAGACAAACCTTTGGGCAGGATTATGACAGGAGGTTTTAGGCTGCTTCAGGGTAGGAAAAGGAACTAATTTTCTCTTGGATCATTCATCTTTTGGGTCTAGACTCAGCGAGAAAAAAGTGTCCACAGGCACATTCCCAGATGAGGGACACTAGGATGGTACCCATCACCTGGGTAGAGTGAGAATGGGACAAGACCTATAACTCTGAAGAAGCTAACATGTTTTGTAAATCAGATCGTTCACCCCATCCATCATTCTCTGTTCTTTTTGCTACACTTAGCTTCTTATATATCCAAAAGACCTGCCCTGTTTCTGCTATCCAGGGATGGAAAATTTGTCTACAGAACACTAAATCTTGGGAGTAGTGTTCCCAGGATAGGAAGGTAGCTACAGGATTTAAAATCTCACGAGAAAGGACTCTGAGAGTAAGTTCAGCTGAGCCTTTCCATCTGGACACTCTAATGCTCATCTTTGAGGTATGAGGTTTAATCAAGAAAGGCAGATGTTTCTTACAAAAAAAAAAATGGTAACAATTTAAAGCTCTGTTTCTACTGCCAATTAACAAACAGGGTCTCAGCACCTTAAGGGGTTTCTGCTCTGCCCCCAAATTTACATGTAACTCAGAATTTTAAGACAAAAACATGCGCTGAACTCCAAATTTGAAGTTTCAAAGCCTATTCAGATTTCAGATTACAAATAGCTGGACAAAGGAAAGAAAACTATAAAAAAAGAGACTTTAACATAACTTTTCAAAGAAAGTTTAGAAACTTTCAAGACATTAATACTAATTAAAATAAAACTGTAATCAGTTTATTTAACATTAAGCTACATACTGTGCTAAGCATTTTACATAAAGTATCTCATTTGATCAAAAAAATAAAAACAAAAACCTAAGACATACACATATTATTCTCCACATTTTAGAGAACTGCAAATTGAAATTCAAGCTGACATCTCTCTGATACCAAAGCCTGCACTCAAAATACCATACTTCCTTCCAGAGGACTCAAAGGAAATTTCAAAATTAAGTGTAAAAACTCAGCTTTCCTTCAAATAGTCATGTCTCTTTTAAAATAACTTTTTAAAAACACTACTTACCAATCTACTAAATCCTCCATAAAGTATACAAAACCCTCCTTGATAATCAGAGAGATCTACAAAGCCTTCAATATTTCTATAGTCATAGGAACAGAGGACTCTGTTTGTTGCAGGGTTAATTTGGTCAAAGCCTCCTGGTGTTACTTCCAAAATGACAGGTTTTCTTGTATCACTCCAGTGATGCTTATAGCAGTTATATCTCTACAGAGAAAAATAATAATACTTTTAAATTCATATTTAAGGTTACCATAAAACATCATTACATTTGATACATCACTCATTACAGAAAAAAAAAACCAAAAAATTAAAAATCTAAATATTATAAATATTTAGAGCTACTATCCAAATTCTAAAGACATCTTTACTTTGGTCATTTGGAGGTTTATGTTTATTTAATTAAATATGTTTAGGCTAACTAAAGACAGTATCAGTATCAGCTGAGCTGTTCAGTCATGTCCGACTCTTTGCGACCCCATAGACCACAGGACACCAGGCCTCCATGTCCATCACCAACTGCAGGAGTCTACCCAAACCCATGTCCATTGATTTGGTGATGCCATCCAACCTTCTCATCCTCTGTTGTCCCCTTCTCCTCCTGCCCTCAACCCTTCCCAACATCAGGGTCTTTTCAACTGAGTTAGCTCTTTGTACCAGGTGGCCAAAGGGTTGGAGTTTCAGCTTCAACATCAGGCCCTCCAATGAACACCCAGGACTGATCTCCTTTAGGATGGACTGGTTGGATCTCCTTGCAGTCCAAGGGACTCTCAAGAGTCTTCTCCAACAC